ACAACACTCGGCTTGGTAACCATTCCATTCCGAATGTTCCCGGAGTTGTCATTGTGTGTAAACGGTCAGGAATCTGAATATCCTTTCAGTGTAAACGCCTACGAATCCGAATACTCCAAAATTGATGAATCTGGAAACATTTACGAATCCGGAAAACTCTCCTCTAGTGTAAACCAAGTCTGAATAATCCCAGTAAGGGAAATGAAAAAAACTATTAAAGCTTTCATTATATAGCTTGTGTATTAGATAAGTATTCTCGGTTTAAAATTCTCGTTCTTTTTTCAGTCAAGATGGATTTTCGAAAGATGGCTGTCATTTAATTACATCACAAAGCAACTCAGAAGAAACAGTCTGCAGCTGCAGTCACTTGACTCATTTTGCTGTCCTAGTAGACTACAGTGGTGGGAGTGTGCACGTGGTATTATGTTGTTCAATATTGCTTCTAGCATTGCTTATAAGGGCATTAAATTGATAAACATCCTATTCCGTCTGTTTGTGATTTGTTCTGCAGCTTTCCCAGAAGGACGAAGATATTCACGAGATAATCACTTACGTAGGATTGAGCCTTTCAGTCATCGGAATGATTTTAACTATAATCATGTATTCCCTTTTCAAGTGAGTAAACATTGTCTAGTTTCTTAGGCCTTTGATTGGTTGAGACTAACAAAGAGATGTACATAAACCACTGCTAGTATTTTATTTCTTAAACCAGAGATATTCATCAACCTCTGACTCAAATAAGACTGAGTATCGCCGGGTCGCTCGGAGCTGGTCAAATAAGCTTTCTCGGCGGAATGCACGCCATGGGTAACACTGTGAGTGTGGTTTTTGTGTTTGTTCCTGTTTTCGAAATTTCCAAAAAAAAGAGAATAGAAGAAAAGCTCTTTTTCCTTTTTCTGCAGGTCGCTTGCATAACAGCAACAGGCCTTACGCAGTATTTCTTGATGGCCGCCTTCTGCTGGATGCTGGTGGAAGAAATTTACTTTTACTTGCTTATTGTAAAAGTTTACGACATCAGCAATAAGATGATCGTATGTCACGTCATGGCATGGGGTATTTTTCTTCAATCAATAATTATTACCTATTGTTTTCAATAATGATCTGCCCTATTTCCCATCAGTTTATTAATAATATGATTATATGCGAAGTTTGACCTCCTCCGTTTCTTTGTGTGCAGGTTTCCCTATCACCATGGTCGGCATTTCTCTTCGCGTCGCAATCGGAAAAGGAGAGATTCAAAGCTATACCAGCGATAAATAGTAAGAAACACAGTTTACGTTCATGGATTCCTCCCCTTTTGCTCCCTCTACATGTTTTGGTTTTTCTCTGATTTGGGTTTACTTTACTTTATATTTCCCTCATATCTTTTTTTCGTCTTGCCCACATCTTCCTTTTTTTCTTATGTTTGCAATCTAGTTCATTTCTTATTTCATCCTTTCTCTTACACTCCTATTCAGTCTTCAAATATATCTATTTAAATACATTCCCCTTTTTATAGCCAGCATAGCAAACTACTTGTTTACTTTCCTCTAAAAACATTTCTTTGTCTTTCCCTTTTCTTTTAAGTCTGTTTTACCGCCGACCTTTTGTTTTTAATCTTTTCTTTTAATTTTCAATTGTGAGCTGTGATTTGATCTTGATTTGACTTGCTTTTAAGATATGATGCTAGCTTTATTTCTGGCTCCTTTAGCTTTGTCTTTCCTCTTTCCGTCTTCTTTAGTTGTTGGTTGTCATCAACTTATGACTTGATTTGGATATTTGTTGCATTTCTGACAGCAACTGCAGTGGTAAGTTTACTATCAATAAANNNAAAGCCTTAGTTTGGTAACCTGAGGGAAGCCTAAATGGGGGAAGGGTCCTATGATATGCGACAAAAAGCCCCCTGCCACACGCTTAACTATGTAGAAACTGTCAGACAGATTATATAGTATCCAGCTAATAGTAATACCTTGCATTTCTAGTGGTCTTAGCTTGCGAACTATAATGGTATGGTTCGCCCAGCAAATCACATTCAAGAAAGTTTACAATTGCCTTAAAACCATCGTTGTGGGACGCCGTGGGACGGGGTCCAGGTTTCCATTTCGAGGAATGGCCATCGCATCTGTTGTCATTTGCTTGTTCCATGATAAAATTTATCGCTAGGAGGCGATTGTGTAAACTTCTGTGAAAATCGTGTCGGTCGAAATATCTCTTAGCGTTGCAAGTGTATTATAGGACCAATAAAAAATCCAGCAGTCCTGTCAAGTGCATGCATATTAGAAACACTTTAATAATGATAAACAGGAGAAATGTATGGCTTCAGTTCTTCAAAGTCAGCCTCTATTTAGCACTTTCAAAGAGTGAATTGCTATTATTCTTGACGCTAAATATTTCAGGAAATATACAGTTTCAGGTTCTTTTCTAACACATCCCCATTACGCCAAAATGGATAAATGGTCAAGACATGGTATTTGCACATAATAATCAGTAGTACCAAGAAGTATTTTAAACGCAAAGAGGAGACGAAAATTATAAATATATCTTGTTAGACGTTTTTTTGTGTAGTATCGCTAGGTATTTTACGAGTTGTGCCGTATTTTGACGAGACCGTATGGCGAGTCAAAATACAAACAACGAGTAAAAATACTCAGCGATTTTACACAACAAAACGTCTAGTAAGAGATTTATTATCCAACACGCCAAATTGTTATTTCAGTGTGGGCGAATTTCGCGAATATTTCTAGAGTACAAATATCGCCGACCGTGAGAGGGGCTAAAATATTTCAACAGTCGAGATATGGTATGAGAAAAAGTCCTCAGCTACTTTTAATTAGATACTACCAAACAGTAGTCCGTCGAGCAGGGATGGCACTTTGTTTCGGGGTATTCATCTCTCACAGGTCTGGTCTTAGCTTGATTATCTGACCAGGTGTCAAAGTTTGTTTCAGTTACTCCTCGCTTCTTTAAGGTAGTCCAAACGATTTCATTATTTTAAAGTGGTTTTCCTAATCCACCAACTCCCTAACAAATATCGTGCTAAAACTAATTCCTGGGTTTTTGAGCTATTTGACATGTTACGGTTGCACAAACAATAGTCCATACTACTTTAAATAAAGTGTGTCTTCGGATATCCTCACATTTGCGATTAAAGATATTTATTATGCATACACTGTAAACCCTAAATTGCGCTTCTGATTATCAAATTTATCTTTTCTTATTATTGGCTTCTTTTTATTAAAACAGATCTATAAGCATCGTTTGAACTCGATGACTGATACAAAACTTCAAAATCAGGGGAAATCCAAATATCTTAAAAGTGTGATATGATAGATGTGATAGATTAACATTTTTAGACATTAGCTCGCCGTAAAAAAGAAAGAAAAGAAAAGAAAACGAAACCAAAACAAACCAAAAGAAAGAAAAACAAATAAATAAGAAATAAATATCTTATTAGACGTTTTGTTGTGTAGTATCGCTGAGTATTTTTAATCGTTTTTTGTATTTTGACGAGCCCTACGGGCGTCAAAATACGGCACAACTCGTAAAAATATTCAGCGATACTACACAACAAAACGTCTAATAAGTTATCTAAATTGGTATTTCAGTGCGGGCGAATTTCGCGGATGTTTGTTTACGAGGAGTGCGTGACAGAAGTATGCGAAGCGAAACGGAATTGGCGAGTTGTCGTGTTGCTGTTTCTATTTTCTTCAATAAATAAAGAAATTTCCTCGTTGTCTAACTGTTTTTCTTCGTTCGATTCATCTGATAAACTTGGATCTACATTTGTCAGCCATTCCGACTCTTTGTCGTCAGAAATATGATTCAAATTGTCCAGGTTTCAATTTAATTCTTCACTTGCGCAATGCGAGAAAACCTGTCTAACCGGTTCTATGGAGTACAAATACCGCGTGATATTTGTACTCGTCTATAGCGTTATTTATACTCTACGGACTGTAGTTGGATAATAAAGTAACATATTT